ATACTTCAATCAAAAAACATATAGAATTGGACCCCATATACAAACCCATACAGGTCAAAACCAGAAATGACGGTACTCACCATAACGGACCGGGCAGTATAAATGCCAAGCAGACCAGAATAACATCGCTTCATCAAAACCTCCACTGATGATGTCACCTAGCACAGTGACCAAACATCTGAACAAAAACAAGCCAGCTCGGCGACCAAGTCAACAACCTCATAACCAAAATATCATACAATTAGAATCGCACAATGCTTACAAATATGACCTGAATTTGCATTTATAACTCGTAAAATGACTGCAGATGCTAGAAATCTCAAATGGTAACAGGATCTGCTGCAAAGATTCAGTACTAGTGCAGAGAGAACTGGAGTAGTGCACAGATTGATGATTTTTCATCAGACCTGGAAACAAGTTGGAGATGTAGCAGGTTTTAAGTAACTCGAGAGTCCAAGAAAGTGAAATATCGGAGGAACGAATAAAAGGAAAGGTCTGTGTTAGGGTGGTGGGCAGTTGCGTTAAAGCATGGATTTTGTGGTGTTAGTGATGGCTGAACTGTCATCATTGCTCATGTGTCTTTACTTTTCTGAAACGGACAGCAATTTCTAGTATCTGAACGCATGCAATTAAACAGGAAAATACAGAATTTTTGCTGTCAGTGCTTCTGTGCTTCTCCATCAGGTGAACAGCTGAATACAGCCAGACTGAAATCAATTAGACATTGGTAAACTGATGAGAACTTCCATCTTTGAGCTGTTGGCCTTTTTGTAAACCCATTGATAAAGGGCGCTTTGTTGTATAGCTGCACCTTGACTTTGAACTGTGTACTAAATTCATAATTATTGACAAAGAACCAGTCAAATGCTGAAAAGGTAGTTTTCTGTTTGTCCATAATGATAAAATACAGATTTTTATTTCACCTTCTACTTTAATTCCATACATCAAATCATTTTCTCTTTGTTAAAAAGTGAACATTGATTTTCACTGATAGTAGGAACTGCAGATGCTGGAGAATCCGAGACAACAAGGTGCAGAGCTGGATGAACACAGCAGGCCAAGCAGCATCATAGGAGCAGAAAGGCTGACGTTTCGGGCCTAGACCCTTCATCAGAAAAATTTTCACTTCATGCTTTGCTGCCTGAGAGAATTTTTAATGTGGTTAACTGCTTAACTTAGTTAATGAGGTCACTGTTGCTAAATATCAAGAGATTTCTTTGAATTTGGTGCCAGATTTAAACTGCTGCGGATCTAGAGGAGACGTAAGTGGCATCAGCACCGACAAGGCTGTGAAGTGGCTGATAAACTGATGCAAGATAACAAGGTGTAGAGCTGGATGAACCAAGCAGGCCAAACAGCATCAGAGGAGCAGGGGAGCTGACGTTTCGGGTCTAACGTCAGCTTTCCTGCTCCTCTGATGCTGCTTGGCCTGCTGTGTTCATCCAGCGCTACACCTTGTTATCTCAGATTCTCCAGCATCTGCAGTTCCTACAATCTCTGCTAAACTGATGCATTGCTATTTCTTGAACGTTTGCTAAACATTATTGGAATGAAGTCCAGGATAGGTAAGAATGGGAGTACGGCAGAGAATTAAAACAAAAAGTGGCTAGAGCTCAGGATCATGTTGATGGACTCGATAGGCATTTTCAGCAAAACAATCACCCAAATTGGTTTCTTCAATGTATTGGAGAACACACCACAAGTAGTGAATATATTACACTAAAATTGCAAGTAAACTGTGTTTCTTCTGCAGTTTATTGATGAGTATATCCTTGGATAGCCCCAAGGGGCATCTCAAGATTTCAGAAGATTTGTTTATACATTTGTCATGCTTGTGACATTACATTATGGATCATATGCCCTTGTTTATATTTTCAGTTCCACATAACAATGATTATGTAAAAATGAGCCACACCGAGCCCTTTTTCCTCCAGCTTTCACTTTCTTCTCAAGTCCACACATCCTGTTCCATAATTTATCCTGACCTTCTCAACTTTCCATTTCGTTCTCTCTTCCTCATTAAGAATTTATCAAAAACGACAATGTCCTTGTCCACTCAATGTTAAATGTAACGCTAATAGTAAAATTATTCCCCCGCCCATCACCTTTATGTCACTGCCCTTGTCCTTACTCATGCCCTAATTAGTCTATAAATTTAAAGTCATTTCTGGGGGTTCTGTAAAGCTAAGCAAAGTATGTGATCACATGCATCTATGTAATTTCATGTATTAGCCCATCAAGCCCAGGTTGGTCTCTGCGAAAGCAATTTAGCTGGTCCCACTCCCTCCTTCCCTCTTCCCATTGCCTGCAGTTTTCTTCTGTTTAGGTGCTTTAGGTCCAATTCTTGTTTGAAAGCCATGATTGAAACTGCCTACACCACTCCTTCAGACAGAGCATCCAAGGTCCTAACATTGTGCTGTGTGAAAAGTGCATTCCTCATGTTGCCTTTGGATTCTTGCCATCGTTTTAAATCTGTCTCCCCAGATTCTCAATTACAATGGAAGTAGTTTCTCTTCATATGTTCTGTCCGGACCCTTCATGTTTATGAACACTTCCATCAAATCTTCTCTCTACCTTTTCCTCTCTCGGTAGAATTATTCTGGCTTCTCCAGTCTGTTGTCATGGCTGAAGTCTCTCCTTCCTGGAAGCATTCTTATAAATCTGCTTTTGCGTGTTCAAAGCTTGCACATCCTTCCCAAAGTGAGTGCCCAGAATTGGAGACAACACTAAACGACATCGTGAAATAGTGTTTAAAAGATTTCTTATAACTTTCTTGCTTTTGCCCTTTGCACTCTTAATTCTAAAGTTCAGGATCCCTTATGTTTGTAACAATTTTCACAACCATCTTCAGCCATCTTCAAAAATGTGTGTACATATGCCCCAATTCTGATTCTGGTAAACTCTTTAGAAATGTGTCTTCAGTTTATATTGCCTGACCTCATTCTCCCTGCCAAAATGCATCACTTCATACTTCTCTGCATTAAATTTCATCAGTCATCTATGTGGCAATTCTACTAGTTGGTCCAGATCCTCTTGTCCTCTCTTAGTTCACAATAATTCTAACTATTGTGTTAAATGCAAATATGCACAAGACCAGTTTATTTTTTTATATGTCAAGAAAACATCCTTCCAGTCTGAGAGGCAACTGTCCACCACTGATTACTATTTCCTATCAGTTAGCCAACTTTGTATCCATGCTGCCAATCTCCGGTTTATTGTATGGCCAGGTTGTGTTTGGACTCTTCAGTACTAGGGGCAAGTTGTAAAGCCAATTCGAAGCACTGAGGACTGGTTGAATATACTCCTACTGGTACTTTTGCCCCTCATTGGGAGGAGTTCCTGCTCTCTGGAGCTACCAGTGAGCACCAACAATCCCTGCAGTGGCATAGTTGTGGGAACTGCTGGGGCTGCAAGGGGGCCCTCAGGAGGCCCAGTGTGACTTAGACCAAGTAAGTATGACAGCTTTGAGCTGGGGATTTTTAACCAACTTGGTCGAAAGCGACAAAGTGGTGATTGGTTGGATTTCAAAGCACATGGAGGTGGGAGGTAAGGGGAGGTGTTATCTTCTTGGGTCACCTCCATGATAGCAGCCCCCTTCTCTCCTGCTGTTTTAAGCAATTTCAAAATATGTGAAGCCCAGTCCCACTTGTCAGCCCATACCAAGTGTCTTATGGCATCCGCATAGAATAATATTGGAGTCAGTTGAGCTTTTAACATGTTCAGTTAATCTGTAATTATTTGATTACACATGGGGGTTGATTTGCTCATTTGGATTATGTTAAATTACTCACCCACTGCATTATTGGGGTAGGCTTGTGGGTGAGTGGGAGGGTGGTGAGCTGGCCATCCCCCCTTAATTACATGTCACCTCACCCAAAACATACCCAGCTGAGGCATGTGCTGTCCATCCACTTATCTTTGTCAATTTTTAGTCTATCCAATAACTCTCATACTTCCTCATTCACCATGATTCCAGCAGCATTTACTTGGTAAAAGCAGATGTAAAATACTCAGATAACATTTCAGTCATCCCTCAACTTTCATTCATAGAACCCTTTTAGGTCCCTAATCAAGCCCACTCCTCTGATTATCATACTCTTACTATTGACCAGCCTATGGAAGACTTTTAGATTCTATTTTACGTTAGCTGTCATCCTCCTACTCTCTTATTGCGTCTCATTTTAGTTTTGATCTTCAATTTGAACTTCCTATATTAAACCTGGTTCTCACTTGTGTAATCAATATGACATCTGTCATGCACTTTGTTTGTCCACCTAGTCTTACCCTGTACCTCTCTAACTATCCAGGGAGCTCTGGTTTTGCTTTCCTTGCATTTTTTTCCCCCTCACTCAGGGAAAGGACCTTAACTGTGCCTGAGCCACATGCTGTTTAAATATAGCCCGTTGTTCAGTTAGTTTTGCCTGACAATCTTTCATTCTGACAACAAGCCTGTTCTCAATCCACGAAAACTGGTTTCTCTACACCCATTCCCTTCGTGCTTGCTAACCTACATGGCTCTCAGTCTGCCAAGACGTTCATGTTAAATTTTGTTTAATATCACTGATGTGAAGCATTGTGTGATGTTCAGCAATATTGAAGGCGTATAAAATGCAAATTGCTGTCATCTAAAATTGATTAGGATTTTTCACTTCCATTTCCAGTGGAGTGGTAGCTCCCTGAGATGTGTTTCCAACTGTGGAGTAAAGTGAACACCTGAAAAGCTAATGTGAGCAAGAGAATGTGATGGTATTAAATCGTTAGCAAAATGCAATTTTTCTCTTAAACAGGTTTAGAATATCCCAACATGTTTATAATGTTTCATAAAATGAACAGGTAGGGAATGCAGATCCTTTCATTTCAAGCTGTGTGTAAATAGCAAGACAGTGGAAGCAATGAAGTTTTCTTCGCAATCCCATGCAAATTGTTTGTTTTCTCATATGCAAAAGTCTATCTTTAACATTGCTTTATTTCTGTATAATTTTCTTTGTCAAAATTTACAGGATGGTGACAATTGGGAAATCATTGAAGGATTAAAAATTGGTCAGACTAATGTGCAGAAACCAGATAAACATGAGGGGTTTATGTTGAAAAAACGCAAGTGGCCCTTAAAAGGTTGGCATAAAGTAAGTATTACATAAACTCTTTCTCAAGGAAGGCAAATGTATTGGTCATTGATGCCTAAAATTACAAATTAATTTTGAATAGATTATCACTGTATGATTAATGTCCCTACTTCTAAATGCAATCTGTGGAGATTTACATTATTTATAATTGCTATGTCACCTCAGCAAATAGTCTTACGTGGATTTTTGCCTGTTGTATAGTCATGAGCTGAGTTTGCAGAGATGGGAAAATGGATTTTATAAAATCAGAATGTTGCATTATTTACTGGTTTCATGTATATGTTCTTCTAGAGGAAAAGATACTGTAAATAAATCTGATCTCCAACATCGTCCCTGTCTCCATGGTCCTGCGTATTTAACATAATCCCTCAACCCAACTCAATGTTGTCTCTTTACAATTGCCTGTTTCAAAATTTAGAAAAATGAAAATACAAAAATTTAAGAGGTGTAGCAGCAAAATCAGTTGAAGTACAGTAAAGGAAGTGATCATGAATGTTGCAAAAACAATAAGAAGAAAAGATAGAACAATGCATTCTTCTGATTCAGTGTATTCTGTGCCAATATGTAACAGTGCATGCTTCAGAGTTGATTTTAGCCATGTTTAATCACAGCTCGAATAAATTGTTGTGTCTAAATCAATTTGCAATTTGTCAAGTTTTTCAGCCACCTTTATATATATCTTTTGAATATGTTTTTCACATTCATATTCCTTCTTTCCTGTCTTTTCGAACTTCACAAGGTAAATGAAAATTTTAAAATATTTTCTGCCCGTTTTAGCCTCAGACCTTTTTAGCCTGTCACTGTGACCTCCAACTGTTTCTTAAGTAATTCAGGGAGTTTTATCTCGACTATTTCACTTCAAAGACTATTCCACTGTTGATCCTTGTAATGCTTATAAATTTGTCTTTTATTCAATCAGACCTTGTTCTCTTGTTTTCTTATGTTTCATTTGAATTAGTTTTCTGGATGTATACAACCACTTGATCATCTATCACTTGTCTAATTTGGGGCTGAAAAACCCACATTCTCGCAGCTTTCTTCATTCTTTGTTTATTTGACAGGAAAGAATTTTCTCAACTTGGTCCCTGCTGAAGCAGTGTAGCTGTTAGTAAATTGGGAACCATTAGATGCTGAAGTGGACGTTGCTGTGGTTTATTAATTGCGCCACAACCTCAATCTCCAATTTCTTGGTTCCTCATGCAATCAGAGAGGGTGGGTGGAATGATGTTCTTGCTCTGCCAAAGGAAGGGTTTCTAATTAAGGGGACCCTAGCATAGCTTACATGGTCTCACCTGCATCTGGCTTTTTCAGGCTGTAGCAAGCACAGGGATGGTGACCTGGGAGAGCTACTTCCTGGGTTCTCTCATTTACTTGGAGGTCCTATTGTGGGATGTAAGGAGGTAACAGTAATGTGAGCTCTCCCAAGGATGGGAGAAGGAAGACAACTTCTCCAACCAAGCAGCTATACGTGGAAGTATTTGAGAAAGTCAGCAACGAAATGTGCTCTTTCCAATCTGGAGTCATTGCACCAAGAGGATCCAGAGCCCAAGAAAGCTGTGTGCCAATAAGACTTCCAGGTAGCAATCCCTGCACTTTGACTTTTCCAACCTGCTCCTGCACAGCACTCCTCATGCCAACAAATCTTGCAGCTCCAGTATGCTTCTCTCAAGGATCTCACATCTGAAAACTTGGCACTCAAATTCACTCTCATCCTATCAACCTCCTGTACCCAGGCCTCAGTCATTCTCCAGAAATGCCATTCCCCTCTCCATGCAAGACATTAGTAATTCATCACTCTCCGCTTTCTCTCTCTTTGCGGAGGAGGAGAGTTCATAACTTCAGGCAGACGCAAGGACCCAGGGTAAGGATGGCCCTTCAGTGACCAGTGGTAATGCATGCCCATGTGCTCCATTCAGAAGCAGATCTGGTTTCAGAAGGCTGTGGGTATCAGCCTTATCTTCGCCACTTGAGGCACCACATTGAGAGAGCTAATCCTCTGCCTGCAGAATCTTTGTTAGGTTTTCATTGAATTGTTTCTCTATCCATTCCCTCTGCCCTGTGGAACAGCATGTGATAAAGGCAATTCAGCTTTTCTTGCAGAGATAAATTACTAATGTCTTGTATGGAGAACGGAATGATATTTCTGGTGGATGACTAAGGCCTGGGTATAGGAGATTGATAGGATGAGAATGAATTTGAGTATCAAGAAAAGACACTGAGCTTCCAGTTGCCTACCACTTCAACACACTGCTTTGTTCCCTGGCCAACATCCTGTATAAGGCTTGCTGCACTGCTCCAGCAAAGCTGGAAGAACAGCACCTCATTTTCCGCTTGGGAACCCTGCAGCCTTCTGGACTCAACATCTAGTTCAACAAATTTTGGGCTTGAGCTCTGCCATGTCCTTACCCCAACCCCTCCACACCTTGTTATCACATGGTCTGCTGTAAGCCACTAACGGACCTCATTACATCTATTCACCCTCCTAGCCAGATCATTATCATTATCCACTCCTTTGTCAGTCCAACTGTTCTGTCTCTTTGGACTCTATCCCCCTCCTATTGTTTACTCCTTACGTCTTTGCCAACCACACCTGCTCTCCAACACCGGCTCCCCCCCGCCCCCACACCCCACCAATCTTCTGCATAAAAGCCAACATTTTCCTAGCTACCATCTGAAGCAGGTCACTGGACCTGATATGTTAACTGTGATTTCTCTCCACAGATGCTGCCAGATCTGCTGAACTTTTCCAGCAATTTCTGTTTTTGTTTCTGATTTACAGCATCTGCTGTTCGTTCTTTTTTTTTTCAAGCCACTGGTGTTGTTCACGTTGCTTCTTTTCTTTGCTCCTTGCCATGGGATGTAAGTAGAGCAGAATGAAGTCCCCCCCCCCATGCCAGGTTGAAGATGGGCAGCAGGGCAGGTGAGGGTAAGGCAGGTGAAATAGCTTCCATGGATATAGAAATCATTGTTGACTCACTTCTTAAGGAGGAGTGCTGCATGCAGCAACCTCTCATCTGGCAGCTCCTTAATTTAACTGACCAAAGGTTTTATAGCCTGGAAGTGTCACTGGAGAAGTACCCCCACTTCAATTCAATTCGGTGGCCTTGGTGAATTGCTGACAATGTTGGACATACTTCTGTGGGTAATAAGCCAGAATCCCTTTTGTGATGAAAAGTTCCTTAGTCAATGTTTTCTAATCCCCATGAGGGACCATTTGAAATGGTAAGTGAGCAATCCTCTTTTCCTTCCCACTATTTGTCCACATGTAGACATAGATGGTGGTGAGTTTGGGCACTGTCAGGCAGCTGGCTGTGATGTAAAGCCCAGGCAGGATCACAGACCTCCTCTGGCTCCCGCTAAGTAAGTGACCAGCAGAATTAATGTTAAAACCTGAACTTTAATCTGTATATCAGAATATACTTGAGATATTTATTGTAAAATAGAGAATGGTGAATTGGTTGAAAAGAAACTTCATTGATTAAACCAGAGTCTTGATTACCTTTTTACAGTATATTAGCTGACAAATGCACAGGGTTTCTTTGCCCATCCTAAAACCTGCCTTGCCTAAACCTGGAGGAGGAAGAGATGCGTCCATCACACACTGCCCATTTACGGTTCTGATAACAGAAGCTTTACCCCACTTCACACTTCCAAATCTTGTCCATATAAACACGTAGACATTGAAGAATAAACAAGAAAGAATATTCTGTTGTGAACTCACAAAGAGGTCAATCATTCAAAGCTAATGCTCCACTTCAGCTTGTGTAAACTGACTCTTCGTGAACTAATCCTTTGAGTGTTTTGGAGTTCAGCCAAGCATTTATATTTGTTCTTTGACCTTTTTGTCAATATCCATGTTTATTTGGCTAAGATTTAGAGATGTGAAATTGAGTAAAGCTTCTGTTATTGACAGTATGAATGCCAGTGAATGGTTTAAACTTTTATAAAGTTTGAGAACGGCATTTTCTTTTTTTCTGAAGTTGATTTCTGAATGGTTCTTTTTCTCATAAGCATTTCAATATGCCATTATTGTATGGGTCATGGATTCTGTACAAAGGGGCATGGGACTGTTGGGTTGGAGAGGGGGGAGCGTGGGGTTGGATGTTGGTAATTGCTTTTAAACATATCTCTTAGAAGATACCCAAATCCAGCTTATGTTTCACAGTTCCTCTGTAGGCCAGCGAACCATAAATCCTGGAGAAGCTATCTCAACTCCATGAACATTGTGGAGCGTTATGAGATATTTTCTCTTGCAATGGAACTAGCCAATTTGAGATTATTGAGTGCAGGCTTGCTAGCTACAGCTTTATGCTGCCCTGAGTGAAAATTGCTGGCTTGGGCAACAGAGGCAGGAGTGCCAGAGGCCACCTACTCTGTGGAAATCCAGCCCATTTACATTAAGTTTTTACCTTGTCAGCAAAGTAACTTGGAAACTGTACCACCCTACAAGGGAAAATGTGCGTCTAGAAGAATTGTCTTCAGTTAGTCCTAAAAATATTTACAGTTGATTTCTAGATCTGGAGTTTACTGAGTTGCCCCCTTTATTATCATTTATATTCAGTTATAGCACAATAACAAAATTTTTATTAAAAAAGTTCATGAATTTTCCTTTTCTCAAGCACTTAGAAATGAAGGCCATTGTATTGTTAGATTGTTTTATATCATCAAGTTGATTTTTATTTGGATTTTCAACCTTACAATTTGTAAAATTAATTTATCATTAAAATTTGTAGGTTAATTTATTAATTAAAATTTGTTTTGTTACAGCGCTTCTTTGTCCTTGATAACGGAATGCTAAAGTACTCCAAGGCACCATTTGATGTGAGTAACAAGACAACATGATCTGATTTGGGCAGTCTCCAAGTACCAGTTGACGAGTCAGATTTACTTAGTAATCACTTATTATTCTTTACATTTTACTTCAACAGGTGGATTATATTTAGCTAATAATAGAATTTTATTTGACGGCCAATCATTATCAGATTTATTGCAATTTCTGATGAAATGGAGAACAGAATAAATTTTACAGATTTTTGAACAATTACTATTTTAAACTTGGATTCTAAGTAATAATTCTGGGTTCCAGTTGCAATTTTCATAGACCAGAGACATTGTATGCTAGTATTTGTAATGTACTGTTAGTACATAATAACTAAGAAAGAGGGGTTGGATATTGTTATATTCTCTATGAACACATCTGGAAAATAGAATGGGACAAGCCAACAACAGGATTATTTTACAGCTTGTCACAAATTATGATGAGGACACTTGAATCAGTGCCAAGGCCACCTTATGATCATGGAGAATTGTAATCTTTATCGCCTAAACTGGGACTTGCAGGAGGGACAATTCGCATGAAAAGATTTATTATGAGACTTAAACATTTCCAAAGCACCACTTGAGAGAACTCAACACAGCATAAAATTTAATAATTTAAGATGGAATAGAAAGCAGTGTTAAATACAGAAATATTTAGGTCTAACCATCAAAGTTGTCAATTTTAAGCTTGACATAAGGTCAGAATAGATAAGTTATTAACTTGGATTTCAGAATTGCAGACTTTGAGGAAAGAAAATGCTACACCAAACAAATAGAAAGAAACCAAGGAGATGCAAGGTTGGAATATGAGAGGAACATAGTGAACATATAAAGGTTACTAATATAGGGGTAGGGGGAAGGAGAGGTGATGGCCTAGTGGTATTATCACTACACTACTAATCCGGAGACCCAGGTAATGGCCTCAGGACCCAGGTTCAAAACCCACAGTGGCAGAGGGTGGAATTTGAATTCAGTAAAAAATCTGGGACTAACAGTCTGATGATAACCATGAAACTATTACTGAATGTTGGGAAAATCCCATCTGGTTCACTGATGGCCTTTAAGGAAGGAAATCTGACATCCTTACCTGGTCTGGCTTACATGTGACTCCGGACCCTGGGCAATGTGGTTGACTCATAACTGCCGTCCAGGAAAATAGGGATGAGCAATAAATACTGGCCTAGCCAGTGATGTCCACATTTCGTGAATGAATTAAAGTCCTCCTTACGAACATCCGGGAGCTTCTGGCAAAATTTATGAGAGCTGTCTCACAGACTACGTGGTGGAACAAGGATATTGTGTTGGAAATGAGTTGGCCTCAGCTCCCTCATGTTGAGGGCTCTATGATTGACCCCGTGAAGTCTCATGGTGTCAGGTCAAACATGGGAAAGAAAACCTTCCAGTTGATCACTATTTACCGCTCTCCCTCAGCTGATGAATCACTCCTCCTCCATGTTGAACATCACTTGAAGAAAGCATTGAGGATAGCAGAGGTACATAATGGATGGATGTGTGGCAGATTTTGATGTCAGTAACACCACTGCTGACTAAGCTAGTTAAGTTATTAAAGGACATGGCTGGTACGTATGACCAACTTGCCCATCAACTTATCACAGATGCGTGACGGTAGAAGTGACCACGGCACAGCTGTTCTGAAGTCAAAAGTCCAATCTTTACATTGAGAATAGCTTTCATTGTGTTGTAAGGCTCAATCACTGTGTAAAATGGGACAGATTTTGAACTGATTCACTCCATGTGATATCAAGAAGCAGTCGAAGATGCTGGATACTGCAAGGACTGTGTGCCCTAACATCATTCTGGCAATAGTACTATGTACCAGAACTAGTTATGCATCTTGCCAAGCTGCACCAGTACAGCTACTATATTGGCTTTAACCTGGCAATGTGGAACATTGTCCATATGTTTCCTATGCACAAAACTAAGGACAAATACAACTCAGCCGATCACTGAGATAACAAGGTGTAGAGCTGGATGAACACAGCAGGCCAAGCACATCATGGGAGCAGGAAGGCTGACGTTTCGGCCCTAGACCGTTTTCTGAACAAGGGTCTAGGCCCGAAACGTCAGCCTTCCTGCTCCTCTGATGCTGCTTGGCCTGCTGTGTTCATTCAGCTCTACACCTCGTTATCTCAGATTCTCCAGCATCTGCAGTTCCTACTATCTCAGCCGATTACTGCCCTGTTAGTCTGCTCTCAATCATCAGCAAATTGATAGCAGGAGTTATCAATAGTTCCGTAAACTGGCATTTGCAAAGATTAACCTGCTCATTGATTCTCAGTTTGGTTTTTGCCAGAGTCATTCAGCTCCTGACCTCCTTACAGCCTTGGTTCAAACATCGACAAAAGAGCTGAATTCCAGAAATGAGATGAGAGTGACTGCGTTTAGCATCAAGGCAAAATTGAACTGACTGTGGCTCCAAGGAACCCTAGCAAAATTGAAGTCACTTGGAATTTGGGGCAATTTCTCACTAGTTGGAGTCATACTTTGCAAAAAGGGAGGTGATTGGTGTTGTTGCAGGTCAGTCATCTCAGCTCCAGGACATCTCTGCAGGAGTTCCTCAGGATAGTGTCCTCAGCCCAACCATCTTCAGCTGCTTCATCAATGACCTTCCCTCCATCATAAGGTCAGAAGTGGGGATGTTCACTGATGACTGCACCATGTTCAGCACAATTTGTGACCCTTCAGATACTGAACCAGTTTCATGCAGTCAACCTGGATACAATTCAGGCTTGGGTTAATATGTGGCATAGAACATTAGTGCCACACAAGTGCCAGGCAATGACCATCTCCAGCAGGACAGAAACTACCACCCTTAGCAATTAATGGCATAATGTCACTAAATCTCCCAGGAACAACACATCAACATGAAAGAACTGCCATTGAGCAGCTATATAAATATTGTGACTACAAGACCAACTCAAAGGCTAGGAATCCTGCAGCATGTTACTCACCTCCCTTCTCCTCATAGCTGGTCCATTGCCTACACAGCACAAGTCAGATGGAATACTCTGCTTTTGTCTGGATGGGTGTGGCTTCAACAATATTCATAGAGCTCAAACTCCCTCTATAGCAAAGCAGCCTGCTTTATTGACACCCCACACACCATCTTCAACATTCACTCCCTTTACTAGTGATGCACATTGGCAGCAGTGTGATGGAAATAACTTCACAGCGGCCAGTATCCTGTCACCAAGTCACCCTTTATTTACACGTGGAGAGTCCTTGACACTGGTCCGGCTTCTTCAGAGCCATCTCTCAGAGGGAACAGAACCTCTGACTCTCCTGTTTATGTCTGTCAGCCAGGGCTCCTTGACTGGGGCTGTTAACCTGGTTCAATCAGGGAACTCACCTTCCATGAGGTCCACCTGGCTGACCTCATTACAGAGTTCCATCTACATGATGTACAGCAGTAACTCTCTGAACCTCCTTCAACAGGACCTTCCAAACCCATGACTCCTACCGCCAAGAAGGACAAAGACAATCGATCCATGGCAACACCACCGTCTGCACATCTGCCCCTCCATCCCTGACTTGGAAAATCTATTATCATTTCTTGACTGTTGCTGGATCAAAATCCTAACAATGCTGTTGGAGTCTGTAAATGCTAAGAAGGGCAGTGGTTCAAAGATGGTAGCTCATCAGCACCTTCTCGGAGACAATTAGGGATAGGCAACAATTGCTGGCCTAATCATTGACACTCGCGTCCCATGCATGAATTAAAAGAAAACTTCTGGTCCTTAACCTTTGAAGTAGATTTGAAAAACTTGGCCTAAAAGGTGTGATTATTTCCTACAAATGTCCAGTCCCCCACCTGATTAATCCAGTCATAAGTTTGGATTTCAGATCATCAGCTGTGAACTAAGACATTGCTCAAGCTGCAGAGACTTACTTCAAATGTGGTTGCTACAAATCACAGTCCTCACATGCTACAGCTGCAACACATCACCTGCCCTGCCATTTTTATGTTGTTTGATGTAACTAATTAGATCTCGAGGTTACTCAATGGCAGCCTGAAGATCAAGGAGCAACTCAAAGTATTGGTCTGGGTGCCTTGATAGTGAATATTACAAGGGCCTTCAGGGTCTGATGGTGGACCTAGTTTCAGAAGGACAGGTTCTACCTAAACAGTTTACTGGTTTTTGTGTTGAGAAACTTGCAGATCTGGTGCTTAATGGTGAGGTGTAGTGGTTATCTGCATAGATTTCAGGAATACACTTGAAGTTCTCCCAATGTTCACGTGGAACAGAGAAGAAAATAACTAACTGATTACTGGTGAACTTGTGTAAATATTTCATGCAGAAGGAGGTAAAGGGCACTTGCTGCCACAATCACTGGAGGGAGGTTTTGGTGAATAACTGAGATACCCAAGAAGACTTTTTCTGCATTATTATGTCACTATGTTTATAGGTTGTGCTTGCAATTTATTTGGATCATTGAACACAGCAAAGTCATAGTAGAAGAATAACTGAAGTAGCAAGCTATTGATTCAGAGATAGTAGGAACTGCAGATGCTGGAGAATCTGAGATAACAAGGTGTAGAGCTGGATGAACACAGCAGGCCAAGCAGCATCAGAGGAGCAGGAAGGCTGACGTTTCGGGCCTAGACC